AGGAAGGGCATGCCCAGGAGGAAGAGCAGGTCCACCATGGAGAGGCTGATGATGAAGATATCTGGGACGCTGCTCCTGGGGCTGGATTTCTTAAAGACTGTGCAGATCACCAGGCTGTTACCAATGATGCCTAGGAAGAAGATGATGCCAAACAGGGTAGGCATGATGAAGCCAGTATAGCTTACCGTGCTGGGCTCACCTGCAGAGACAGAGCATAGGCAGAGAAACATCAGGGCATGTGTGCCGTGAGCAGGGGTGCAGGGGAAGATGGGGGCTTTACAGACTAGACCTCCTGGTTTCTAATAAAACAATGATAATATGCTTATAGGAACATAAGAATAATGTATTTTCCACACAGACATAAGGTGGCGGGTGTGTTAATATAATACACATGCCTATACACATCTGTACAAATCTATTTACACTCACACATATAGACAGACATAGAGGTGTATGTGTATCTGTGTGTATACACGTGTACATGTACAGTGATATATGCTATATACAGCAAACTTAGTTATACATACATATGCACTTGTGTATACACACACTCAAACATACATATAGATACAGTATACACATGAATATGCACATCTAGGTTTGTTTGGATACAGCATAGCTGTGTTTGTGTATACACACGCATGTATCACCTTGTGTACAATATATGTACGTGTATATCTATGTATGTAGGAGTCTGTGTATATGCACACACACCAGATGCATGCATATATAAATACACGTGTGTGTATATATAATGCACATACTCCTTAGTTATATAGTAGACTCATAATAGCCCCAGTCCCATCACTTTTAGCTTTGAGAAAAGTGATCAGCAATTATCCCTGAATATAAGACCTCCTGACAGTATACACAAATATATATTTTTACCTACTCATTTACTTACCAGGCAGGGAAAAGTTTTGCACAGCCTTGGTGATGTTAGCAGTGCAGCTGTTCAAGCTCTCCGTATGATTTGTTTTAAAATCCATCCCTCGGCAGTAATTGGATCTGATCAATAGTTTGAAGATGTCGCGGTGCTGATGTTTAATGTAGAAGAAAGGTGGCTAGTTCCTGGGAGATCCTGTGATGATGCTCAAACCTGCTGCTTTGACAATCAGGAGAGGCTGCTGTGTTGGTTAAAAAGCAGCTGTTGTAAAGCTCTGACTCCCCTGCTCCTGCACCAATGCCAGGTGAAACTGACATCAGAATGTAAGAAGCAAAGTGCCTATCAGCAGGCTGTCAGCCAAATGCCTCTTAACACACTGGGAGAGAGAACAGAGAAGCAGAGCTCATTTATGTAGTGCATAAGGCAGCAACTGGGATCCATAGGTTTATTTCTCAGTCCACCAATGTTCTGTAAAAAGACATTGGGACTTGCGCTAAGTAAACTGAAATACATTACACACATGCACAAACACATGCATCCAACATATAGGGCAGCTATAGCTTTCAGGACTCATATAAGCAAGTCAATAACACTATCAGCCTGAAAAGAGTTAATCTGAAGAGCCAACAATTAAACTTTAGTTGCATATGCTAGGGTTTAGGCTAATTTCCATTCGCTTTTAACTCAAACAATATGAGCTACTAGTGGCTGAAAATAAGGGCTGGATGGGTAAATATATTGGGAGCTATCATATTTTCTGATAAACTTGCTGAGGTGCAGCGCAATGAAGGACCTTATCTTTCTCTCTCCCCCTTCCCCAATATTTCCCCCATTTTACTCCAGTGGACCATTGAAGCATCTCTGGAATATGGAAGCCAGGACTGCTTATGGTCAACACAGGCAGGCACTGCTTGGAGAGGTGGGGAACCAATCAGGAGATTTCTTTTCAAGGTTTGTGTGAAACTGTTGAAGTTTTATAGAATTTACATGTAATAAATACAATATTGGAAAAACTGAATAAATGAGGTGGGACCCAGGCTTTCATTTAAATGATTTATTTAAAGGCAATAATTTCTATCCTGGTGGTTCATCGACCAGTGACCATTTTAAGGTCTAACCGCACAGGGAAAAATTCATTTCATTTACCAGATAGGGCAGGATGCTTTCAGCATTACAACTCTTTGGGTCACACTGCCCCTCAGGAGTCTCTTTAATTTGCAAACTGCATTCTCAACTGGGTCATTGCAGTTCTGGTCCAGTCTGGTATCTGCACAGGGAAATAAGGCTGGTTGAAAGGAAAAGTATTAAGAGTTGACTCCCAGTCATTCCAAATTTTTCCTTGCTTCCTTTCTTGGGGCATGCTTTTATACTTGTTTCAGAAAATAGGACTTAACCATCTCCTCTCTTGCTTTTGAGATAAGAGGAAAATTGTTATGCACAAGTTTGTGCCATTAGCATCAATGGCAGCAAGGGAAATTTATGAAGAAACACACTACACTTAAAAATCGGAGTCACCGTAATTGCAATTACATGAGTTTCTTCACACACAAGTGCAAAGCAATTACTGCTTATCAATATTTTCATTACAATGCTCTTGCCTTACTTTGGGTCTGCAATTCTTCTAGGTGCAAAGGGAAGTGTTTGTTTTATTGCAACAATTGAAAGCCAGCACACTTGTAGATATAACAGCCACTGCTGAAAGCTTCACTCAAGAATGCAATTTCCTTTTGGAAGCTGGCAGGTAAGACTACTCACACAGATGGCAGAAGCGTATGTAATAACTTGCCGATGGGCTGTACTAACTACAGCTGTGATGTGAATTCTTCTTGGTTAGCACTGAACATGAATAAAAGTGCAGCATTCTGCAGCAATGTTACAATGTTTTTCCATACAAATCCTTGGCTGATTAAGATCGACATAGCTCCATTGTGGAGCTGTGCTGATTTACACCGGCTGAGGATGTGGTCCAAAACTGGGAGTAGCAACAATTGTTAAAGTTGCATAAACACTTCCAGTGTAAGATCGTTATCTCACCTTTTGGGATGAAATGTTGTAGGCTTTCACTCAGTCCAAAGATTAAGGTGGGTTTTTCTTTGTTTAAGCAAAATACTATAATTTCCACTGTTTCCCCCCCACCCCCTCCAGTATGTGGCACGTGGAGAAAAAAATGCCCATTTTAAATTTTAAAACAGCTCTTTAGCTCAAATGACAGGAGGTAAAAAGTTGTATGAGTTTTGATTTGACCATGTTATGAAATGTGGGGGAGGAAACACTCTGCAGGATTGGGGTCCATAATGAGGAAATTCTCTTCATAATGTTCTATCCAGAGGCAAACACTTCTCTTAACTAGAGTTAAGTGTGAAAGTGCTTTATTGAAAGGACCAGCGCACTGAGCACATTGCAGGATGGAACCCTAATGTATGTATGTAATATAGTACACAGCCAAAGATGGGTCTCACTGCACATATGCATGTGACAAACTTACCAGCACAGTGAAAAATTAAAGTGAACTTTGTGTCTTGGACTGCAGTTTCATTAAGCAGAATAGATTCATCTGAAAAAGTGTGGACATCAACTAGTAAAGACTGCAGCCAATACCCTGAACTTGTCATGGCTTAAATAAAATTTGAAATGTGAAAGATTTGGAAAGGAGGGACTCAAAGAACAGAAGAGGTATATTACCTTAAGTTCATTTAACACAAAAGTCTCTGTGGAGGTGTTTAAAGCCAAATCTTTTAGTTTTAGGTTAGAGCATTCCTGATTTAAGTTACAGTCACACAGCAGGTTTGTGCAAGACAGGAGTAAATTTGGGTCTATGCTAAGGGGCATATTTGTTTTGAGGGATAATTTGAAATATAACTTCAGTTTAGAGACAAACAGTGTACCAGTTCATGCAATGTTGCAACATTATACCAGCTGAGGACCAAGAATGCTGCTGCCCATTTAAAGACAAGGAGGGCTGAATATCCCCAAATAATGCCAAACTGGCGACAGCTTGTGGCTGTGAAATTTATTTAGCAATAACTCACAAGGTGACGTGTTTGGGTTAATACAAAACGAAGAGAGAGCTTGTAAAAAAACTGAAATCTAGTTCTAAGTAATGTTCATTATGGTTTAAGTTTTGAAAACTTGTTTTTGTTACCCTGTTTATCCTTGCTAAAGTAACAGCAAAAAGACAACCCAGATAAACAAATAGCACTTTATTAAACTAAATATCTTTGAGATACACGAGGTTACTACTTAAGCTAAGATAGTTAGTATTTGCCCTCTGCCAGAAAAAGTTCACAGAAGTTACATATTCAAAGAGTGAAAATTGGTAAGCAAAATAGACTTTCAAAAACACTCAAACACATAAGGCAAAACACTAAGCCCCTAACCCGCACCTCTTGTGGGATGGAAGGAGAATGAGGAAGGTATCCCTTCTGAATAACTTATCAGAACATGCAAGAGTTTAGACAAGTGGTCCCCAAGCTTTTTTGCTCAACCCCTCCCCCTCATCTGATCCACAAACCCCATCCACCCACCCTGGGAGCCGCAGTGGGGAGCTGGGGCCGGGAGCGGGGCCAGAGCTCGGGCTGGGCACCATGGTCAGGAGTGAAGCCAGTGCTGCAGCTGGGGCTGTGGTCGGGGCCAGGAGCGGAGCCAGGTGGTGCTCCCTCCCTGCCCCCCATGGGGGCTGGCCCAGGCCTGTCGCGCCCCCCCAAACATTCCTCTCCACCCCCTTAAGGGGTCCGCCCCACAGTTTGGGGACCACTGGTTTAGGCTATTAAATATTATACATAGTAAAATTTCCTTTACCTTGTTTTTCCAACAACATATATATTTAACATGGTGCAGGCTTAGTTCTTTACCACACAGATATTTTGTTAACCACTGTTAAGGCTTAAAAATATTTTTCCAGTATTCAAACAGGTGTTACCTTGTGTTGCTGTGCTTTGCCATTTCCCAAGTGCAAAAACATCCAACTGCAGCAGTCAGGTTGTTCCACTTTGATTCCCCATCTAAGATTAGAATTCTAACACCAAGTTATAATCTCAAACATACAAATGCACAAAACTGCCCCAATTTTATTGGAAATTATTGCTTTTATAGCAACAGGATTGGACGCTGTAGGAAGATTTCTCACCATGACCTGTACACTTAGTATGACACTGAATTGACTACAGGTTAAGATACTGTTCCTATGCATTTTTACAGCAACAACCAAAGAGGCATATTGAGTCTCAATTTCCATAAACAACGCACAAAGCTTGAGTATTTGACAGGTAAACACAAAGTTACAATTCAGAACAGTACAAGTAAGTGCATATCAAGGAAGACAGGAAGCCGGGAAAGTCCTGTTCATTCGCTCTTCGTGTTCTTGTTAGAAGGGTCCAAGACAGGAGGACTACTCTGTAGCAAACTGTTTCCATTAGCTTCTTGCTTCTTTACTAGGCTGCTGTATAATGAGAAGAATGGTCAAATTTACTGGGTTTTGCTTTCACGGGAGATTGTTGAGATCTTACCCAACACAAAGAAAGTTGAGCAGTATGGGGGTTGACAAACCTATTATCTAGCATTTCTAGAGCAACTATTATTGAATTATCTGGGTGCTCTCCCAGCGATTATCTCACTGGAGCCAGAGATCCATGTATGGGGATGGGCTTGATGCATGTTGTCCACTTACCCTCAAAGATCTGCAATGGATATAATGAATTTTTTTTAGCTTTGGCTGTATAATGTGGAACAACACTCATGTGGAGGAAGGAGGGCGAGTAGCGGCGCGCGAATCAGCTGTTTCACGTGCCGTGGCGCGCGAGCGGCAGCAGCAGCGGAGGTGAGCTAGGGCGGCCAGGGCACATTTTTAGGGGCGACATTCTGGCGCCGGCCATGCCGCCCCTAAAAATGTGCCGCCCCAAGCACCAGCTTGTTTTGCAGGTGCCTAGAGCCGGCCCTGCGAGCGACATACTTATATCAACCGAAGCGCCAGTGTAGACAACGCTATGTCAGTGAGCGAGCTTCTCCTGCTGACATAGTTAATCCATCTACGTGAGAGGCAGTAGCTAAGATGATGGGAGAAGCTCTCTCCCGTTGTCTTAGAGCGTCTTCATTAAAGTGCTACAGTGATACAGCCGTGCCGATACAGCGTTTTTAAGTTTAGACCTGCCCTTAGAGAAAGGTGGTTGTGTAATTAAAAAGAACACTGTCGTGTCAAAACTGACCAAAGCATAAGTTACAGGTTTCATAAAACAAGCTTTTACAAAACCTAACACTAACAGAAATATTTCCACAATTTTTTAAAAGGTTTTCTTGTTTTGCTTTTAAAATAGATATTTATTTGCAATGGTTGCTACAAAAGCATTGCATAATTGTGATAATACAGGAGAACCAGAAAGTAAATTGACTAGAAAATGGCTATAAAAGTAAAATTATTCTATTTTCTTCTTCTAAGTCGAGAAGTAAACACACACAGTGCATAGGTAAGAGGAAATAAAACTGTTAAAGTTCTTTCAATTTAGTAATCTAAAGAATTACTAACAGTTACATAATGATCAAGAATACCACTGGAATCAAATGACTGAAACCCAAACCATGGCTAAAGTTCTACAAGAGCCTCATTTAATAAAGGGGAGGGAAAAGATGAAAAGCATGAACTGAACAGTCAGGATTTTTAAAAGCATTCTCAGACCATGTGTTTCTTTATAGTGGCTTAATCCTTTCTATTTGGTACCTTCAAGCCCTTAATATTTAAAGCAGCCACATAACCTTGTTAATTTGTTGCTGTGTTTTAAAAGTTGAATAATTTTACCTGTTTGACATGAGGCTACATTAATATCAAAAGTGCTTTGTATAATTGCATATAACTATTTCTTTCTCCTCTTCCGTAAGTAGAAAATAGAGCCAGAGGTCCTTATATTAATTCCTACTAAAATATACATTAATATTAGTGGCTGGACAGATATCTGCTGCATATTAATGGTCAGAGTAACATGCTATACTGACCAAGAATGACGAGTTTATTATCCTAAGTTAACCAAAGGGTAACCAATGACGAGCCACAGCTGCAGTTTGACATTACAGTACAGATCACTATGTTAATGCTTACTTTGGAGTATGCCAGTAGTTGATGAGAGTTGAAAGAGCTATGTAGCAAATACTTAGGACTCCAGAAACTGCCAATGAAAGGAGGCCCAGGCCACTCAGCACACAAAGAAGGGCTATGCCACCTACTGATATGACAACACCTAGTAAGAGAGAATTAGTTTATTTGCACAAATACATATACAAGTATACACACCAGGTCCAGGAGATATACTGCCGTCCCAAATTCAAACTATCAGTGAAAATGGTGTAGCACAACAACTAGCTGATCTGTTCACAGTGTAGTAGTTGAAGGCCTGATAGTCCCCATCCACAGGAAATCCTGTGGGCTAAAGGGGAGGAAATCTCCATGAGTTTTCCCCTGATGATTCTCATAGGGTGATGCTTATCTCCCTGTGGAGTAGCCTGTGGGGCCAGCCCCCAAATTTCACTCATCTTCTAGGCTCCATGCAGATCCGAAAGGATTGGGGGAAGTGGGGGGCTAGGATCTTCTGCACAGAAGCTCTGTGCCACCCCAGCAACTCTGGCCACAATTTGGCTATGGAGAATAACTCCACTGGGGCTACACTGCCATGACCTCCCCTAACGTCTTTACAGAGGTTCCCCCACCACGGAAAGATAATACATTATCTTCCCGCTCTGAGCTCCACAGGGCTGATTAGCAAACAATGTGCATCCTGCCCCAAGTCAGACCCTGATCTGTCCCTTCTCTTCCAAGTGGATCCGCTGGCTCACAGAGAGCTTTCCACGGGGGAGCCTTGGAGAGGAATAATCAGGCCCAAAGTTTATTTGGTGGTGGACAGGAGATCTGGAAGTATGCTTGAGGAAAGTAATTTTAATACATGACATTTGTTACAGTCCAGAAGAAAAAACAAAACTATTTGCTCTTCTAAATGTGCTCTTGCTAAATCTCTTTGAAGGCCAGAGATGAAAGTTATCCATGGCAAGGATAAATGGATTAACAGTGTACAGCATTGGGATTATCTGCACCCAAGACAGGAAAATCCTTTCTCCCTTTTTAATTAGAATACTATTCTGGTATTAAAAGACTGTTGCTGTTTCTGAAAGTAGAGACATGCACAAAAAGATCATTACAATTTGCTTGCACCAAGAACTTCTGCAGGTCAGAGATAAGAGAAAGGAAAATCCTTTAAATAAATAACTTTGTCCTAAACGTTACTGATCTTTGTAGTAAGGAAATAAATAGATAAAGAAAATACCTTCAATGACGATAACCCCCATACAGGCCACTATGGTTGTTGAAATCACAAATATCAGAAAGAATGCAACAGGAATAGCAGATATTGCAATAAACACCAACAGTGACAGGGCGACAAAAGGATGATCATCTAAGTACTGGCCAACTCGAGAGTTCATAAAAGAAACAACCTGTAAACGATTGAAAGAAGAAAAGTAGAATTAGATCAGATTTTAATTTAAATTTTTTTAAAGTCTGTATTACCTGAGAAAGGGGTCAAAACCATTTTAGTGACATTTTGGGTACAAACATTTTATAAATACATAAGCTGATGAATTAATGTCAGAGGCAGTGGCCATTCTGTTTCAAAAGTATGAGCATCCGTCTGTCTAGGTACTTTTAGGGCACTCATCAACATCATGTCTGAATGCTTCAAAAATTCTATAGTGAACACATCAAAGAAAAGTTTCTCCAACACATGTTGAAACAAAGGCAGAGATCACAATGGATTTAGCAAGGCAGACCATGTATTTTAGCATCTTTAAAAACTTGACAGTAAAGTGAAAACAATGAAGAGAGATCAGTAGGAGGTGAAGGTTCCTCAGCAATAGCTTAAAATAATTTACAAGGGGTATCCTGTTCATTGTGATACTGATAAACTTCAACATGTGCATAATACAATAAGTATCAAAAGTCAAAATGGCAAATAAAACATGCAGGTCCACGGTATAACACAACTGATTTCAGTGGCGTTTTACCAGCTATAATTTTGATCCAATGAGCTATATTTGTTTAAAAATCTGAAAATCCTGTTAATAGGACGAGTATCTAGACGACATTTTTTCAAAGCTTCTAAATTAAGGGGCATAAATTTTCCTTTCAGGGATCCTGCCTCACCTATAAACTTGCAAACTTCCCCTCCTCTATATGTAAGGACACTGCAAGCTCATCTACATTAGAAAGTTGTACTGCTTTAATTATACCAGTATAGTTAAAAAGGTATAGCCCTCTTAGTGTGGATGCAGTTATATCGGTATAAAGATGCTTTATACTAGTATGGCTTTTCCCATATAAAATAACTATACCACATAAGTCACTTTTATATTGGTGTAACTGTGTCCACACTAGGTTTTTTACAAGTATAACTATACTGGTTTTAAAAGAAACCTAAACACATCCCCAGTGAAAACAGTTATACCAGTAAAGCTTTAAAGGCGCTCTCCCTCTTTCATGGCTGAAGATGTGGGAGGAGGGAACTCCCTGTAGCCAAACAGCATGAAAGGGAGATGACAGCCCTGCTGTACCTGGAAAAAGATATGCACTAAGTGTTTTTAAAGCTCTGACTGTGCCCAGAAAGGTTACTGTCATTTGAAGCTTGCACAATTACCCTCTTCAAAATAATTAAACCTTATAAAGATAACTATTTTTTTAGCACATTTATGTTTTACTCCTCCAACACTGAAAAATCAATGGGAAAAAATACTGTGTTGGTGGATCACAACAAAATAGATCTGCTGCCCAAAACTGACCAGGGCCCAATCCTGCTCTCCTGGAAGCCAATAAAAGTTTTGCCACTGACTTCCAAAGGCCCAGAATTAGTCCCTCTCTCTGTTAAGTCATGGGGCAATGCATATGCAATACCTGTGAGGAGTCTATGCAAAAATTAAATATAAAATAAAGGTGGTTTCTAAAATTAATGCTTACACAAAAAATGGTCCATGTGTTTCCTACCATTGTGCAACCTCCATCTACCAGCAGCTGGGAGAAGATCAATTTCTTTAGGTAGAACATCAATTTCTTTATGCTGTGTTTTGGTGTGAATGCACCAGAGAGGTAATGGCATACTATTAAGAATAAGAACATCTGGGTTCCAGATCACTTAATCTATGCTCCAGTTTCCTTATCTGTAAAATGGCGATAATATTTGCCACCTACTTTACTGAGCTGTTGTGAACCTTACTATTTGTGAGGCATTCAGATGCTACAGTAATGAGTACCACAGAAATGCCCCTAATTTTTTTAAAGTTCCTTTTGAGTCCTTATTAAAAGAAAGAACTCATTTTCTCTTTGGAAATTCAATATTAGTTTTATAATTAAATTTCATTATCATACAACCATAAAATAAAATTGGGCATGATGTTCCAGCAATGATGAAAGGAGAAGTATTCTATAAATAATGCTCTGTAAAATTATAAAATAATCCAAAACCCACATTGGAGTTGGTGTGGATGGTTTGCATCATGGAGTGCCATTGTTTCTGTAGTTCTTGCATTTCTTTTGACATTTTGGAGCCTTCAGTGTTGATCTTGAATCCTCTTCTGGAGAATTAATGCTTTTTTAGCCATCCACCCTATTTAAAAGTTAAGATAAAATTACTGACAGGCTTGGGCATGATTATGTGAAAATTTCTCTTGTTTGAAACAGAAATATTTAGTTGATTATAGATGTTAATGTTACATGTAAAACATATAAAATTTAATGTAGTAGTCTAAATTCCTGACAACTCTCCTGAGACATCCCCAAGTCCAGAAAGATTATTTCTCATTGTTCAAGTATCACAAATATAAAATGTCTCTGACCTTCTTAATTTATAGCATAAATCCTGTACTTAACAGTAACAATGTACCCAAATACCCAGTAGGAACTCAGTTCTACCTATTTAGGTATTATACCACATTCATTTCTGCCTGAACAGCCAATAATTTCCAAAGGTTACATTAATAAGGTTATATGCACCTGTATATGGACACATATCTATAGCTAAAATCAAACACTGTTCAACATTACAAATCAATGTATAGAGCAGAGGTAAGCTGCTTTCAAACAGTTTGAACATACATTATATGCTCCTGAAACTTAAAGGGGCAGCATCAACTTAAAATTGCTTATCTGAAAGTTTATCCTATTATTGCTGCAAGGAACACTATAATTGAAAGTTTAGAAAACATTTTACCTTTAATTTTCTGAAAGTTTACCTTGTAATTCTACATCACTGTCTATAATCAATTTCACCATAATCAGTTTCCTCTTGTTTGTATAAGCCTTTCACACAGCAACAAGGGAAAAAATTTGTAAAGTGGAAGATGTAAAACTTGACAGAGGGACTCAAGGGAGGGTGTAGTACATGAAACTACTTTTAATCTTTGAATTGACTAGATTTAAAATTGACTGTATCTCCTTGCATGTTCACTTTTTTTAAATTACACAATTAGTGCTGTTTCAAGTGAGGTTTCAAATGGGGTTTACCAGTTGATTAAATTTAAAATATAGTCAGTGTCTTCCAAAATCATGTTTCCTTTGAAATTTAAAAGCAAAGTACAATATTATTTTTACTGACAAATCATGAGTTCAAAAATATTATCAGGGCAGATGCAGTTAAAATGGGAAGTTACAAAATTACATATTCAATAATTAGTAGAAGTGTGAATCTAAATTCTATTATCCTAGTTGTTAATGGTAAGAGGGGAAACCTACCAGGTACTATTACAAACACTGCCTACAAGCCCTGACAAATAATCCTTATTAAGTATTGTCTGAGACTTATTCTATCTAGGATGAAACTAATGATCTGTAGTTTGAACAAAATATAGTAGTGATGAGAGGCTCCAAGATGTGTGTATTGATATGGTCTGTAGGAGGAGATTTATCTCTATTTCAGCATTCAAGTTAAGCCATGTCTACACTACAGTGACTATAGTGGCATAGCTATGGTGCCCCAGCTAAGGCTATGTCTACACTATGCACCTTTTAGCGACATGGCTGTGTCGCTACAGATGTGCTGCTAAATGGGTTTGTCGGCAGGAGAGAGCTCTTCTGCCGACAAAAAACGTTTGCCCCCGAGTGGCATTTGCTTTGTTGGCAGGAGAGCGCTTGTCATCGGCAAAACGTTTGTCTTTCGGGGTGTGGTGTTTTTTTAACACCTCTGAAAGACAAAAGTTTTGTCGTTCAGTTGCCAGTGTAGACAAAGCCTAACGCTGTAGCACAGACACGGGTTTTTCTGCTGTAGGACCACAACCATATGTGCTGGAACTAAGGGTGCTGACTTGAAGAGGTTTCCATCATATCCAGGGTTTACAGTTTAGTTCAATGGCTCTCAGCACCGGGAGCACCCTCACTACACAAATTGTTCCAGCACCCCTGAACACCACCTCCTTGAGTAACAGCGCTAGGTCTAGGGAAAGCATTCTTTGATTGACCTGTATATACAGTGTGGGTTTGGTCAGCAAGTCTACAAGTCCCAGGCTTTGATTGGCATAGCTGTGGCACTCCGCTGTGGATTTTTCACCCCCCTAAATACCGTAGCTGTAATGACCTAACTTTTAAGTGTAGATCAAGCTTAGTGGGCAGCGTGGGCTGATTCCTAGGGGGACTACACTGCTGGGGGGAGAGGGGGGGTTCCAGCAGAAGAGACTGGGACAGACCAAGACAGGAGGCCCCGCTGGGGACGAGCAGTGCGGCGGGCGTGGGGAGCATGGCTCTGGACGCAAAACCCAGACACCTCCTCCCCCGTCTCCGCAGGGCAGCCTGAGCGCTCTGCCCCGCCGAGGAGGGGTGCCAGGGAGGGGGAGTTCCCCGGAGCTTGGAGCAGAGACGAGGGAGCTGGGCTGGGCCCCAAGATGGGCGGGGAGGGGACTCACCGTGGGACAAGCCTCTTCCTGGGGACCAGGCGGGCCGGCCTCTCCCAGCGGCTCTGCGGGCGCGGGGAGGTCCCCCCCCGCCGCCGCCTGATGCCAGGGGCCGGGCGGATCCCCGCCTCCGGCCGAGGAGGCTCCAGGCGAAGCCCCCAGCCAGCGGCGCGCGGCCGAGACGGCGCTGATCCCCCTACCTCAGAGCCTGACTCCCCATTCCACGACGGGCAGCCGCCTCCGCGCTCCCTCCAGCCTCCGCCCGGCTCGGCCTGGCTGGCGGATGCTGGGACTGGGACAGCAACCTGCCCGGGCCTGCAGGCAGCAGCCGGCTGGGGCTGGGCCGGGGCTGGGCTGCTGCTGCCGCCGCTTCCCCCTGCTGGGTTGGGAAGCACAGCTGCTGTCATGCGGAACATGCCTCCTGCCTATGCGTGAAAGCTAGAATAAGGACATGGGGGCGGGGCAGGACTTGAGGAGACACTGTGGGTGCTGGTCTAGCAGGCTCTTCACGTACAAGGCATTTCCATGGGCCTGGCATGTTCACATACAACATGGCGCTGTTGCACCCACACATGTGGCACGGGTGTGTCTCCACAGAACATTGTCTGCCACAGTATGGGAAGGGGCGGGGTGGGGGCTGCACACCGAGGGCAGGATCAGAGGGGGTGGGGAGGGGCAAATCGGATACACAAAATGCACACGTCTTGCTAAGCCCATGCCAGTGCCATGTGTGGAATTAAACATATCAAGCCCTGACAATGTCACATATGGACCACACCAGTGCCATGTATGACAGCATACCAAGCCCTTTCCAGTGCTATCTATAGGGATACCCCAGTGCCACATGTGTGGGCACACCAGTGCCACATATGTGAACATGCCAGGCCCATGTAAATGCCTTGTATGTGTGCATGTTAGATCAGTACTGACAGTGTCTCCTGTTCTGTCCCCCCTAAATGTTCCTGTTTTTAGCTTTCACGTGTTGATAGGAGGCATGTGCCTTTATGAAAGATTTTTAGCTCATGACAACAGCTCTGATCTCTCCAATCAATCAAAAGTGTTCCTTGTTATTTTACTTTGTGTAAACTACTGCATTTGTAAAATGCCCGCCTCATCCTATCCAGCCACATTATGTTTTGGGTGTTGGCACACTGAAAAATGTAAGTTTCATTTGGAAATCTGAGCAGATGGCATAATAGGCTGGAGCAACATAGCCCAGGCAGCAAGTGCAGAGGAGGACAAGCTGTGACAAGCTTGCAGTAGATGAGATTTGGTTTGCAGAGAAGTAGGGAAAGATCCCTAATGTGGGATACAGCTTCACTCCTGAAATAAAGGAAACTCTGGTGTGGACGGTAGTAGCCTGTTAGACAATGACAGACAGCACACTCCATAACAGAAGTGTACAGTACAGTGCCCAAGCATTCAAAAACCATGTCAGATCCTTTAAAAAAAATCGTACAGTTTTCTAAAAATCATGATTTTTTTTAAAACTAGGGTTTATTTTATTTGCTTTTTGATTTGTGAGCCTTTCAGTACACTTTGGTTACATTTACAATTAAAAAAAAATTAGAGATATAATGTTACTTAAAAATAATAAATAAAAGCTGAGCTTCTCATGTAATCTCTCTTTACTCCAGGAACTGGGGCTTTAAGAAGGTCGCCAAACATCATGAGACTCCTGATAAAATCGTGTAAGTTGGCAAAAGACGGTATAGAGTGGGAAGAATTTTGGTAAGGAACTTGGTAGGGTGTTGTAATGAATAGGATAGCATAAGGATGGACCACTGCCTACTACTGGATGCTCTTGGAACTGTTGAACTATGTATCACTAATCCTGCCTTCAGAATAGGAGTAGCTGAGGGTTTTCCCAATGCTGCTGTGAATTTCTAAGTAGTTTAGTATGAAGTATAGTGAAATGGAAGTTGCTGGGTGTTTATGGATTCATTACACTGGTGGCAGCTGCAGGATCTGAATGCCCCAATTTTACTTTATTAGTTCTTTTTGCTGTATAGAAGTTTTAATGCTAAGTATGTTCAGAAACGTGCAAAATATTCAAGTTTCTGATTAGTACTTTTTGTCATCATTAAGACTGTTACAAAACTGAAAATAATTGGTTTCACTATTTTTTTAAAAATTGTCAATGAAAATAGACATTTTTTTTATTAGATTTAAAAATTCTTCCATAGTGTATGTAACCAAAACATCGCAGAGTTCTGTTAGGGCCTGGGAACCTGACAATGAAACTGATTGCTCACGAGAGTGAAACTGACCAATCTAGTTTAGCTGTCTCAGTTAAGTGAAATGAAAAAAGTAAATACCCCAGCTCGTGAAAAGTAAATTAGATTTTTAAAATTCTTTCCATTTTGCACCCTGATACTGCAAGGAGCTTCACAGAGGATTGGGGCTTTGGTAATCAAAGGTGGTTAGTAACATAGATGAAAACTTAAAAAAAAAAGATATATGACCTTATACTGCCCTTTTAACATGCACTCTATATGGGGGGGGGGGGAATCCTTCCAAGTTCCCTTGCATATTCTGTATAAATTCTGCAACAGTCTTGTTAAAGTAAAATGAAGCTTTATGAATGAGCTACTTTAACAGACTCAATGGGACAATGGAACCCTGTGCCCTTGAAGAGACCTATTGACTTCAGTCGTACTGTACAGGTGTAAGGATCTGTCCATTTATTAAATTGAAGGATAGGGGCCTAAATCAGCTCAAAATTTGCTCCACTGCCGATATTAGGCTCTGGACTCAAAGATGCACAGCAAAAAAGAAATACTTAAAGACTGGAGTGAGAGAGAGAGAGAGAGAGAGAAAGGTAAGAGTGTTTTTCTAAGACTACTAAAAATATTCATAACTGACATTATGGAAGGGTATGCAGTGTTGTTGGAGCCATGTTGGTTCTCCAGAATATTAGAGATACAAGGTGGGTCAGCAGCTAATATCATTTATTGGACCAAATTCTGTTGGTGAGCGAGACAAGCTTTCGAGCTTACACAGAGCTCTTTTTCAGGTCTGGGAAACGTCACAGCTAAATACAAGGTGGAACAGATTGTTTAACGTAAGTAGTTAACACATATTTCAAGGGATCATTCAAGGTGAAGTGGCCTGTTAACATCTCTCCAGTCATGGGGGAGGGAGAGGTTATAGATTATTGTAATAAATGCAGTGACTGTATTCACTCCATGGTATTTACTGTCTAGCAAAGTTATGAATTTAAACATCCAGGCTTGTCTTTTGAAGGTGTGCAGGTTTCCTTTGAGGATGAGGACTGAGAGGTCGCACATAGAGGGAATGCTTTGTGAAAAATGTTCACCCACAGGTGATGTGGTGTTTTTGTCTTTTATCATTTTCAGAAGACCCATTGGGAGGCGTGTAGTTGCCAGAGCCCTCTTGAGGGAGTTGCGAGAGGAGAGGTACCAGGCTCCGTGTGGGGTAGTGGCCACCCTGGAGCCTCTGAATAACCTGGATGGTGAAGAGCAGGGGTAGGCAACCTATGGCACGTGTGCCAAAGGTGGCATGCGAGCTGATTTTCAGTGGCACTCATACTGCCCGGGTCCTGGCCACCGGTCCGGGGGGCTCTGCATTTTAATTTAATTTTAAATGAAGCTTTTTAAACATTTTAAAAACCTTATTTGCTTTACATACGATAGTTTAGTTATAGATTATAGACTTAGAGAAAGAGACCTTCTAAAAACGTTAACATGTATTACCGGCATGTGAAACCTTAAATTAGAGTGAATAAATGAAGAGTCAGCACACCACTTCTGAAAGGTTGCCGACCCCTGGTGAAGAGAGTCAGGATACCAGGATTCTCTCTCTGAAGATGGTGAAAGACAAGTGGATGGCAGGTGGATCTGAGGGGAGCAGGATGAATCTGCTGGGGCAGCATGGGGTTTCAAGCACCCACATCTGAACCTAAACTTCTGGGACCCCTTGGGTTTTGGTTCAGAACCAGAATCAAAAGTGCCTGGAGCAGTTTGGATTCAGGGATTTGAATCCCTGTGTTTTTTCCCTTTCAGATCTGAGGTTTTTGATTTGCCTCTCCTCTGCTGGATGGGTGGCTCCCCCAGCCCTACCCCAGGTAACCATAATCTGTCCCAAAACATCCCTGTAATTTTCAGCAGCATAATAGTAAACAAGCCCATAGCAATGACGGACTCATTCCTGAACCATTCCGCCCTGGCTACAGCAGTACATAAGATAGGTTGACCAGACAGCAAATGTGAAGAATCAGGACAGGAGGTGGGGGGTAATAGGAGCCTATAAAAGAAAAAGACCCAAAAATCAGGACTGTCCCTATAAAATCGGGACATCTGGTCACCCTAACATAAGATTACACTGGGAGGAGTTTTTCTTCAGCTGTTGTGGAGGAGGGGGAAAGCAGGGAGGGGGAAAAGGAGTCATTCTTATGTCTCCTAGCAACAAAAATGCTGTCACCTTGGCTACCAGGCTGAGAAGTGAAGGGCAGAGTGTCAGTGAAGTTCACTTGCGCTAGGAGCTGCAGCCAGGCAAGGAGGTGGTTAAGAAGGGCAGCAGCAGGTAGCAAATCTCCCCTACCCCCGGCCCCAATAAACTACATTAGGAAGAGGCTTAGTGGGCATTGTCTGTCTCCTTCACACTCTGATGTTTGTTCACTTTTCACAGCAATAAATGTGTGTGAAATTGTTTACTTAAAACCACAAATTTGGGGCATTTGAAAAGCAGTGGGTGGGAGGCAGTGGGGAAGGGAAGGGAAGAGAATATGGGGTGTGGGGGAGAAAGGAGCATGGAAGGAAGCAGAGAAGGGAGCTGGGGGTGGGAGCAAAGGAAGCTAGAGCGCTTGCGGAAGGAGGTGGCTGGAAGAAAGCTTGGGAGGGGGATAGAAGAGAAGAGGATAGAAGAGAGTTTGAGATGAGGTGCAGGGGAAAAGTGAGCTTGAAGTGGGGTAGAAAAGGAAGAGAGCTTGTGTAGCAGGGAGAAGAGATCTTAGTGTGGGCAGCATGGGAGAGGGAGAAGACAACTTGAGGAAGAGACAGGTGGAGGGAGTTTGAAGAGAACTGTTTCCTTCCAGCTGCCAGGGTGTCTGGAAGGCAGAGGCATCTATTATAACACTTTCTCTAGTTTCCTGAATGGAGAATATGTCCTGAAACTATTTCCCTAATTTTCTGTGTGCAGGTAGCTAATACGAGCTTATTTATTTTAAGAAAAATATTGACTTAATCTATACACTTTAACAAACAAGAAACAATTTGACCAAAGTTTACAATGAAGCCAACACAGACTCCAAAGCTCCTGAGGGTAAGTGAGTGATTTATTGTTGGGGTTCTGTGAAGTATTCACAATGAAATTTGAAAACCTTGAACACAATTGGCACTTTATCATTAAGGATTCTTCATGATCCTTACTGCTG